CAATATCAAAAACGAATTTTTCAAATATTGGAAGTAACTACTACTACTACGGTTTTTGCATTCCCTTGAAATTGGACTTTATAGTCATCTTAGGCTCTTGGATGACCATGGACTTATTGGTTAATTCAACAACGAGCCAACATTGTTGAATAAGATCTCGGGGAGGTTGTGTCAATTTAATTACGTGCTTTCAATTCAATTAAAACATTTTTGATTGAGCCATTAGAAATGAAAGACAATGATTCATTGCTAATTAGGGCGTTGGACCCATTTAATCTTTCTATCTCATGTCAAAACCCTCTTTTTAATATGTCTCCTTACCAATAGTTAAAGAAACTCTAGTCTAGTACTAGAGGGAATCAACTAACTAAAAGAGATTAAGAAGTAATAAGAATTACAAACCGATTTGTACAAATTCCTACAAATTACACATACTAAGAGGGAGAGATAGATTAATGTCAAACATGATAAGGTCCAATTGAAATAGAAATTAAAACACATTCCCAAGGTTCAAACAATTTGAGTTTAGCGCCTTATTCTCGTAGCTCAATTTTCGTTTAAGGCATAAGTCCATAGTCTCCCATTTTCTAATTACTTAATCACATTAAATGATTAAATGGAATGCAACATAATCAATTAGATTTAGTGCATATGGGCATAATTAAATGATGAGTTTAAACATTAAACAAAATTAAAATCAAACATTTCAATTTTTAAATAGTAGGGGTCTAAATGCAAATATGAAAAAGTTAGGGGTCAAACCATAAATACTAAAAGTAAAACCAAACTTTTCATGATTACAAAAGGACCCTCAAGTGGGAAATCCATTGAGTTTGGCCGGCCAAATGAAGGGGGAGGTGGGTAGGTCTCACCCACCTTGCATTATTTCAACATAAAGAAGAAAAAGAATTCAATTATGCTTGCACTTGATTTTGCTTTAAGGAAATTAGGGAAAAAGTTTTAAAATATCCTAAAGAAGTCTAGGATTGAAAAAACCTTTTGTAATAAATATTGATGATAAGAATATCATCCAAATCCATAAAACAATTTATGAACTTAAATAAAACTATTTTTTAAAAAAAAACAAAACCATGAACACCAAGAACATAACCAAGAACTTCAAGAACACATTTTTCTAGCTTCAAAGTGTGTGTGTGAGGTTCAAAACAAAACACAAACACATAGCCAAAAAATCCCCTTTTGCCGTGCCCTCCCTATGATTCAAAACCCCAAAATTTGTTCTAAACTCACTCTTCATTCATGCATCCAAAACACCTTTTGCATACATATCTTTTTCAACTATTGATTCACAATTTTTCAACATTTGAAAAACAAAAGATAAACATACTTTGAATGAAGAACTAATATGTCAAACATAAAATTAATACCCATATGCATAAAATCCAAAAGGACACATCAAATATAAACCTTTGGCTCTGATACCATATCTGAAGGGAAAATATGAGATTTATGTGGGATTTCTATTGACTAGCATGCATATACAATTCGAGATTTATATACGAAAACAACGGAAGCATGTCAACAATTAATATCAAAGCTCTAGTCATGAAAATCCCCTTCAAGATTCATAGGTTTATTTATGATGCATCAAAAACAATTTATTGAAGAACAAAGTTTAGGAGTAGTTTTATACCTCTTGATCTAGATCTTAGACCAAGGATGGACCACCTCCAAGCTCTTTGCTCCTTGAACTCCTTGAGCCTAGCCTCCCTCCTTGCCTCCTCCACTTTGTTGAGAATGAGTGCTCCTAGGTCCTCTTCAAGTTTCCAAAATTGAAAACCTCTAAAGATCCTCACCCACTAGTGTAGAAAAATGATTAGCTAAAATCCCCTTATGGTGGCCGGCCCTTTGAGTGTTAGAGAGAGTTATTTTCTTTTTTTTCTTTTGTTGTTTTTGAACACCAAAAAAAAAAAACCCCCCATTTTAAACTTTCATTATAAAGTTCCTTTTATAACATAAAGAAACAAGTCAACAATTGACCTTCTCTCTCCCTCTCTTTGGTCGGCCTTCTTAGTGTTGTTTGGGCCTTGGGCTTTTATTATTTCAAGTCATCCAATGCTTGAATAAAAGCCCAATGGGTTTAGGCCCAATGGGCCCAATTAAACCCGAACATTTCTTTAAGCCCAAAACGATCTTTTATCGCTTTTATGATTTCTTTAGACTTTCTAAATTAATCACAACACTTAATTAATCCAATTAATTATTTCCATCATCCATTAGTTACTCACTACAAGAGTGTATTGGTGAACAATCTTTTAGGTTCTAATTAGCAAGGCAGTGAGGTGATTGGCACCAATCCAATTGATTATATTTAATCCATCCACTTAGTGAATTAAAACTTACTTTTAATTCACCTTCTTCTTTGATGACTACATTTAATCATCTAGAAGAACTCACAAGCCATGAGTGACATCTAAACATATATCATGGCTACCCAAGCTAATGTAGAAGTTCATTCGGAGAACCTATTCAGTTGGAATTACAATGTAATTCGATCCTTCTCTAAAACAATACTCTCAATCACATCACTAGGGTATGGATATACTATGTCAAACCCCTAATGTGATTATGCTTTCTTATATGATTCAATTGAGTCGCATAGGAACGTTTTCCTTTATTACGCTCGAGACTTCGGCCGAAGATTCCCGAATCATATCTCAGAGTATTCTTCCTCTCATAACGAGGATCAGAGATTCCTTGTTGATCATTCACATGCCTACATGTTTAGATACCTTAACCCCAACAATGCCGTGGACACTCCAATGGAATGTCGTTTGACATGATCAAAGATCAAGGACCTAACCATTAGACATCTATGATGTCTCAGGTCAAAGGATTACTTACATTATTCCAACCTTCAGAGTTACTTGCTTGACATGTGAGTAGACCTCCATGCAAGTACTCTCGTTCGATTGTGTTCAGTGAACTCATTCCCTTAATGAGCACCTACATATTTGTCTTAGTGTCACTACACGAATGGGATGAGACTTTCCATCCTTCCATTTGAAGCAGACATAGTATGTACCGGTCTATGCATTGTCAGTATCCCTCCGACAATCCTATGACCAGGAACCTTTTTGGACGTAATGGTTATGAGAAGAAGGTCTCTGTAGTCTAATCATCATTAGATTACTTCTTCCATCAATCCATTGTCCATGGATTCATCATTTAGGACATATTTCATTCATTGAGATAGTCCTAATTAGTATCTTTGCCTTCCGATGTATAAGAGTCATATATACATCATTACATTGTCCTGAAAGGTTTCTTCCAAAGATTGACTTTCAGGGCATATTTCCAACAATCGTCATAAGCCACTAAAGCTCAAGGGAAAATTTTATAGAATGGCAATAAGGTCGGTGGTGCTGTATGGCACGGAATGTTGGGTGGTAAAGCATCAACACGTACATAAAATGGGGGTAGCGGAGATGAGGATGCTTCGTTGGATGTGTGAGCACACAAGAAATGATAAGATTAGGAATGAGGATATCTGAGGTAAAGTAGGAGTAGCCGAAATTGAAGGAAAGATGAGAGAAAATCGGTTATGGTGGTTTGGACATGTGTAAAGAAGGCCTACTGACGCTCCGGTTAGAAGATGGGACTACAGGATAGAGGTCCAGGGTCAAGGAGGTAGAGGAGGACTTAGGAAAACTTTGGAAGAGACCTCTAAGAAAAGACTTAGAGTACTTGGATCTAACAGAGGACATGACAGAAAACCGAGCGTAATGACGTTCTAGGATTCATATAGCAGACTCCACTTAGTGGGAAAAGGCTTTGTTGTTGTTGTTGTTATTCTGTCTCTTGTAGGGTACAATAAATTGCTCTCTGAAGTTGATTTAATCATCTACTTAAGGTAGACTTAAATAGACTTTGGAAGTAATTTATTTCATTTTCCTAGAAGGATCTAATTTCCAATTAAAGTGGGAATCTACATCAAAATAGGAAACAATCTTATGTTTCCTAAAGCAAGGGAAGATCTCTACACCTACTACCCTTTCCTACGAGCAGCTCAACAGGTGTGGGGGCATTTGTGGAGCAAAAAATAATCAATAAAATTATGGAGGTGACACGTGGACTTTTGGGTTAAAAGGAAAAAATTACCCTCGAAGTACACCAGGATTCCCACGCACATGCAATAGACAATAACAGCTCAATCAAGGAAGAGTAAGAGGTGATCAAAATGGTATTTATTCAAATCCTTCTCATCAAAACATTATTCAAAAGGTAACTCCCAAATTTCCTATTTAATTTAGGATTAATTATTATGTTAATTGCAAGATATTATTTCACATAATATCTTGCAATTATTCCCCCAATTACACCATATATGGCTGGCCACTATTCTCCAAATAGGGCCGACCACTCCCCTATAAATAGCCCTAATTACAACTAAAAAGCTAAGTCATTTGCTACCCACAAACTCCTAAACACATTTTTTTCAAAATTCTAACTTTGACATTGGAGATTCTTCAACCAAAGTCCCCACCCCATTCATCACCCACCCCATTCATCATGGGCACGTGAGACTTTTGGCCTTAATCTTGGGTGTTACTATTTTGCAGGTGCATTTTCGTCAATGGAGAAGACAGAAATTTTCGTCAAAATGGAGTTGATGAAGGCAAAAGGGAGAAAGCCGAGAGATCAAGAAGGAAGGAGGTTATGTGAGGGATCAAGAGGGAAGAAGGTTATGGGAGGTGTCAACAAAGAGGGTTTGAACGAGCTTCTTGGGACTCTTGAGTGGGATAGTCTTGCAGTTGGAAGTGAGGAGACGGTTGGATTGATTGGAGAACGTGTATTGGAGGAGTACGAAGAAGTCCAAAATCCAGATGATGAAGTTGTTATTTACACACTTGAGAGTGAGCATGTGGAAACGAAGAGGAAGGGCCGGTACACGAAGGGGATGTCAAAGACTATGGGAATGAAACGGGAGGCGAAGAATATAATGGTTGGAGACACCGATTTTTAAAGACGCCTCTTGACAAGGAAGGGTGGCTGTTAACTGCATCTCCTAAACCCTACCCTCGCATACGAACCGCCCTTTTTTTCTTCTAAGTGGCAAATCCGTAAATAAATCAAAATACCACAATTCTACAATGTGAAAATCCTCAACTGAGTCTGACTATGGTAATGGGGAGCAGAAGCCGCCAAAGCAGCAGCAGCGGCAGCAGGCGGGTGAGGGCGTTCAAGCGATGGATGAAGCAGGAAGGGATTGAATGTAGCGACGCCCTCGAACTGCGGGACGACGGAGCTACCGCCGGAGGAATGGGAATCAGTGTCAGAGCCGTCGGCGACCTCAAGGAAGAGGACGTGGTGGCCAGAATTCCAAAGCTGGCGTGCCTCACCATCAGAACCACCGCCGCTGCTGCCGAACCTGAGGCTGCCGAGGCTTTGGAAAATGAGGAGGAGTTGGTCGGGCTGGCGGTGGCTCTGATGTACGAGAGGAGCCTGGGGGAGCGCTCCCGATGGGCCCCGTACCTGGAGCTGTTGAGCGAAGAAGAGGCGGCGGCGTTGCCGTTGGTTTGGAGTGCCCAAGAGGTGGAGCATCTGCTGCAAGGGACGGAGCTGGAGGCGGCGACGGTCAAGGCGGAGAGGTCTGATATGAGGAAGCAGTGGAAGGAGAGCGTTGAGCCCTTGCTGCTCATGCTTCTTAATTCCAATTCCTCCAATTCATTCCAATTCCAGGACTACTTAGTAGCAAGGACATTCATTTCTTCTCGGTCGTTTCAGATTGATGGTTACCATGGAATCGGAATGGTTCCTTTGGCTGACCTGTATGTGAACTGTAATTTCATACATTTCGATTCGATTCAATTCTCAATTCAGTACAATTCAATTCCATTCCTTTCCATTCCATTCCATTCAGGTTTAATCACAAAACCGCAGCTGAGGATGTCCACTTGATGACCTCTCCTCAGAGTAGTCAATCTGACTCTGACACCCCCCAGCAAACCACAGAATCTGCTTCTGCTCCTTCTGATGCTTCCTGCAAGGAGGACGAGGACGAGGACGATGATGATTTGGAAATGACTATGGTGAAAGATGTCAAACTTGGAGCTGAGGTTTCCTCTCTCTCACTTTCATTGTTTCCTCTCTTTCTTCAATTCTAAGTTTCTGTTTTCATGTTTCCTAACTACTCAACTCATTATGTTATTTTCAGTGCTTTGCTTTCCTTTTTCTTTTCGTTTCTTCTCAGGTCTTTAATACATACGGGCCATTGGGTAACGCAGCACTGCTTCACAGATACGGTTTTACAGAGCCTGATAATCCATATGACATTGTCAATATCGACTTGGAACTCATCCTCCGCTGGGGTTCCTCCTTCTCTGGCCAGCATCGTAGAGCAAGGGTATCCCTCTGGAAACGATTTCATTACTCTGGATGTGTCACCCACGACTATGAATATTTTGAGATTTCATTTCATGGACAACCCCAATTTGACATGTTGGTTTTATTGTACATAATGCTCTTACCCGACGAAGAATATTATAAATTGGATCTTGCTATTGCAACTGCTGGAGGAAGCTCCGATGAACCTATGCCTGTCGACATCATTTTTCCAGACAAAAGCCAACAATTGCGCCACAAAGCTGAAATGTTGACCGAGGAACTGTTGCTGACAAAATCTCTTTGTAATGCTCTTTCGTCCCTTGCAGATATGCGGGACAGCCTGTATGGTGCAAATTCATTAGAAGACGATATCAGAGCATTGGGCAGGTGTAGTTGCATAAGTGAGAAAAAGTTGTACCATTCTTTGGTGCTTCGTATCAGTGAGAGGAAGATCCTTCGGAAGCTTCAAATATATGCTGCTAATGCTAAAGAAGCCTCTTGGACGGACAAGTTGAAAAGAAAATGAATGTCTTGGCTTTCCTTTTCGCACTCCCTGTTTTCATGCACTGGCTAAGAGTTCCTTGCCAAAGTGAAGGTATGGAAGTCACAATGCTGTCATGTTGCCGTAAGAGTGATTATTTTTGCTGAATTGGAGACCATTATGAAGCACTTGGGGCAGTACTTTCTCGTTTCCCCGCTAGAAAGCTCTAGCTGAATTCAGTTTTGTGGCATTTTTATAAACCATCCTTTTAAACTTGTCACAGAGAATAGGACTTGGCAGAGCGTTGTTTCTTCTTCTTCTGTCCAAGTCCTCTCCGTTGATTGTGGGTCTGTACATGACTGTCAGTCATCTACAAATTTTGTAGTTACTACAGATTGCTTTCACTTCTTAATTAGAGCACTTATTTTCCTGTGCACTTTGAAAAATCTCCAATATATATGTGTGCGTCTTTCGAGTTATTGATCTTTATAGTTGTGATTGGAATTGAAGGAAAGAAGGATGCATTATGACTGCTCGACGAAACTCTGGAAACCTGTAGCTTTAAGTCTCAAACGACCTTCACCAGTCGTTTAACTGCACGTACCTATGCTATGCACTAAACTATAGATAGAAAAACTGAATCTATAACATGATTCACAACTGACACTCGTTAAGCTTGAAGATAGAGAAATTTTGAGCACGACGTGTCGTCACATTGAAGTGTATCAGAAGTTTTACATTATCAAAGACATGAATGATTCTGTAACAAGAAAAATATATGAATGATTAAAACGAATGATTTACTCTTTATTTAATGTAAATAATGTACAATGATGATATATCATAGAGTTTGCTTTTAGATCTTCCCGGATGATATTGGATGGATACAGATCTTCATGATTCAGGAAAACAATAACCTCTCCAGATGAAACAAAAACCTGCCTGCCTCCATTTAACATGCTACCAAGTCTTGATTAAAAATCTTGCTTCCGATGACGACCAACGACTTAATCAAGCCGTTAACACAGACGAACATAAACACATATCGCATCTGAATTGAGATTCCGCCAGTCGGTCTGGTCTACTTATGACTTATGAGCCTTTATATGCGGGTAAAGTCCCAAAATGTGCTCCGGCATGAAGTCATGTCGCGTTAGAATTCCAACGATTGGAGGTCTCTGTCATCCCCATGCGCAAAGAAAAACATGACAAAGTTGTTTAGAGAAGCGTTTCAGGAATTCTTATGAATATTTGGAGCTGTTACTCCACTTCAGTTTGCATTTGGACAAGGAACTTTCAGAGTATCAGAGAATTTCAGACACAATTGTTAAAAATGCACTACAAGAACACTACCAATGAACCACACATGCACTTCGAAAACACTACAAATGAATCACAATCTTAACACATTTATTCTAAGTTCCATGGAAATTTATGTCCCTCGTCCAAACGTGCAGTAACAGTTGCTAGTTTAACTTCAACAAGAGAGCAGAGAAAAGAGACCATGGCAAAGGAGGAGAACAACTTACCCCTTGGCTCTTTGGTACCAAACATAGGTGTCTGAGACCGAGTTTCCGAAAGAGAATAGCAGCTTTGGCAAGTGACATTGTCTCAACAACTGTGTATGGAGATGCATTTGTAATAGGATGGAGATCAACATACATATCGATCTCCTCTTCTTCAATATCAAGATCCTCCACTTTGATTCCCTTTCCTGACCCTGCCTTTGCGAAATCAAATGCGGCAAATCTCCGGAGGATCTCTTCTCCACAAACAACCCTCTCCCTTGAAAAAACCTTACCCTTGAGCAAAATAAGCAAATGAGACCTTAAAACAAGACCGCACAATTCTGGAGCATCTGAAAAAGGCGGTTCATCAATCACCGGAAATCCATTGTGCCCCGTAGTCCTCAACGCATCCAATATACGCCCTACCTTCTCAATCCCAGAAAAAGTAACCAATGGTCCAGTAGCAACATCAGCTGTGACCAATTGCCTCATGTAAGGTTCTGCATGAGCCTCCAAATAAGGCAGTCCCTTTATTTTGACTATCTGGTCGTAAATTCCCTTGTTGAAGTTATCAGCCACAGTTTTTGAAATAAGGAGAACCAACATCACAAGGGGAAGCAACAGTAAGTCATTCGTGAGTTCAAGCAGTATAATGCAGAGCGAGACTGTCATTCTCATAGTGCCACCCAGGAAGGAGGCAGCTCCTAGTAGAGCAAATAGACCTGTGTCTAGAGTAGAGATTGATTCAAACAACCTCCCAACAAGACGTCCATAGCAAGCTCCAGCTAATATGACAGGGATAAAGAGCCCAGAAGGAATAGCAATGCCATAAGTCATAATTCCGAGGCAGTAAATGGCGGCAAAGAAGATGAAAAGTGAGGAAATGTGAAATTCTTTTTTTGTACTGGTGCTGAATAGATTACGAATGGCATCATCGTTAGTGTTTAGAAAGAGGGAGGCGAGGTCATTATAATAGCCCGAGGGGCAATTGAAACTTTTATAGTTACCAGATTTGCCAACAGTAGGACAACTCACACTCTCGTCAGTAGGGCATCGTTGGCACTCTGCAAACCATGGCAAGCCATAAGAAAGACATGATGTCAAGAGGGCAATGGTGATAACAAGTAAGATTTTGGGAGCAGCACCCTTTCTGCAACAAAAGGAAAACCAGATAAATTAGGAGAGAAACAAGAAAACCTGATTAAAGGCAACAAATCCAAAGTGAGAACAAGAATCGAATCAGAATTGTAATCATGTCACCAACAAATTTAGAGGTGGTTATTTTATAGGTAAAGTCACAAATCTTAGTAGTCACGATTGGGTAAGAGAACATACTCGTGAATGATGCTATAAGTTCGTATGACCTTGTCCACGAGATAGTTATATATGCTTCCAAGAATACCTCCAACAGTTCCTAGGAATAACACTGCTAGTATATCGGGGCCACTATACGTTGCACCGGCTGCACTGACATCATACATGATCAGACCTCCTTCCCCAAATAACCCACAATTTCCTGTAGTACAATATTGTATAAAGCCTCTCAAAACTATTGCAACAACTGCTGTTGTGAAAAATGTCCTCCAAAGAAGAGCACTCCGCCACCTGAAGTTTTCCCGGTAAAGATAACAAATATTCTCAGGACCTATTATGTTACACGTTACAAGAGTTGCATTTTTTCTGTTTTCACAGTGACAAAAAAGAAAATGCAAGTTCATTTTTTAAGACCATTCTCATAATTTGTAGCATAATACTTCAACCACTTATGTCGCAAATATACTATCATATAAAAGGAACAAGAAAGCAAATGCCATCAGAACAAACTAAAGTCATTCGACGTGGGAAAAAAAAAGGATGGAAACAAGATATATGTTTACTATTGTTTCCTCACTTGATTGTACATATAAATATAATTTTACCATAACTATTGTTTAAACTCCGCCTGTATAGGTTTATCTTACATTGCCAGTCCCAAGCCCGGATAAAGGAGGAGGGGGAGGGCGTCAGGTAGTAGATAGCCGGCACTTCTAGGTTACGCCGAATCCTTATGAAAATGAATCCAGAATGAAATCACGCTAAAGCTAGGGCGTCACCCATAAGTGGCGCACTGTGTGGCCCGAGCACATTGATAAGTGAGAAAGGGTCACTGTATCTCCATCGGCACCCGAATGTAGTGTTAAATGAGCAAGGGGGTCATAGAAACTTCTTTTTGAATGACTCCACTCAAAGTTGTTTGGGAGCATATGCTCCTATCAACTTTACACAGGACATACAAAAGAAGTACTTTGATCCTATTAGATGGGGGAGGGTGAAGAAGCTAGGACAGAAGGGTAGAGTTCAAGAGAGTAGAATGCGTTTAGGAACGTGGAATATAGGAACCTTAACGGGAAAATCTATGGAAGTAATGGAAGTTATGGTGAGGAGAAGGATAAGTATTATGTGCCTACAAGAAACTAAGTGGGTTGGTCTTAAGGCAAAGGATCTAGAAAACTCAGGTTTTAAACTTTGGTATTCGGGCACAAATAGAATGAGAAACGGTGTTGGCATCATCGTGGACAAGACCTTGACACAAGATGTTGTAGATGTCAAGAGGGTAGGAGATAGAATTATAGCAATCAAGATTGTAATACGACAAGAACTCCTCAATGTGATTAGTGCGTAGGCACCTCAAGTAGGGTTGGATACGAGTTTGAAGGAGAAATTTTGGGAAGATCTTGGAGACTTGGTGCAAGGAATTGCTCAGACGGAGAAGGTATTTATAGGAGGAGATTTAAATGGACACGTGGGCAAGGAGACAGGCAACTATGGAGGTTTTCATGGTGGCCATGGTTTTGGGGGGAGAAACGTGGATGGGGAAGCCATCTTGGATTTTGCAATGGCATATGATCTCTTCTTAGCCAACACCTTCTTTAGGAAGAGAGAAGAACAAGCGATCACCTACAAGAGTGGTTCGTCAAAAACACAAATAGATTTTCTTCTAATGAGGAAAGGGGATCGTATAAGTTGTAAGGATTGCAAAGTTATACCAGGAGAGAGCTTGGCTAATCAACATCGCTTGTTGGTGATGGATGTACATATCAAAAGAGAGAAAAAAAAGAACAAGACTTGGAAGTGCCCAAGGACTAGATGGTGGAATCTAAACGGAGAAAAACAAGCCATTTTCAAAGAGAAAGTAATCACCCAATGTGTGTGGAATAGAGAGGGGAAAGTTAGCCAAATGTGGGATTCCATGGCTAGTTGTATCCGAAAAGTAGCAAAAGAGGTATTCGGAGAGTCCAAGGGCTTTGCGCCACACCAAAAGGAATCTTGGTGGTGGAATGAGGAGGTACAAACAAAGGTGAAGGCTAAGAAGGAATGTTGTAAAACCTTATACCCTTATACAAGGATAGGACCGATGAAAATGGTGAAAGGTATAGAATAGTGAAACAAGAGGCGAAGAAAGCTATGAGAGAAGTTAAGCTAGCGGCTTATGACGATATGTATAAGCGACTAGATACCAAAGAAGGAGAGTTGGTTATCTATAAACTAGCTAGAGCAAGGTAAAAGAAGACAAGGGACCTAAACCAAGTGAGGTGCATCAAGGATGAGGATGGAAAGGTTCTTGCTACAGAGAACGCGGTCAAAGACAGATGGAGAGGTTATTTTCATAATCTTTTCAATGAAGGACATGAAAGGAGTACTTCTTTGGGGGAGTTAAGTAACTCAAAAGAGTGTAGAAACTACTCCTTTTACCGCCGAATTAGGAAGGAAGAAGTGGTTGTAGATTTGAAAAAGATGAAGCATAGAAAAGCAATGGGCCCAAATGATATATCGATCAAAGTGTGGAAAGTCTTGGGAGAGACGGGTATAGCATGGTTCACAGACCTTTTCAATAGGATTTTGAAAACGAATAAGATGCCAAATGAGTGGCGAAAGAGCACTTTGGTGC